GGAGGAGAATATTGAAAGTGCCATGGGCTGCCAAAAGAACCAATAGATCTGTTTTGGAAGAAGTGCAGCCAGAGTGCTCCTTGGAGGCCAAGATGGCCAGACTTCGTCTCTCATACTTCAGACATATTGTCAGGAGGGGCCAGTCGCTGGAAAAGGATATGTTTGGTAAGGTAGAGGATCAGAGTTAAAGAAGAAGACCGCCAGTGAGATGAATTAGTCAAGTGGCAGCATCGATGGCCTCATGTGTGGTAACAGTAGTGAGATTGGTCCAGGATCCAGCAGTGTTTGGTTCTGCTGTGCATAAGGTCGCCTTGGGTCAGTACCAACTCGATGGCACCTAAGAAGAACAACAGCAATTCACATTTTATGTATCTATATGAGTTCTCCTGGTGTGGTGCTGTGGGTTAATGTGCCAGACTGCAAAGCTGTTTGAACTACAAGCTCGATGGTTCAAGCTCATCAGTCGCTCCTTGGAAACCCTATGCAGGGTTGCTATGGGTCAGAACTGACTCGACGGCACTTAACAACTACATATGAGTTCTATTGGTTTCATGACTAACACCTTGAATAAAATGGTTTAATAGTTCTCTAATACCTAAAGCCCACTTATTATACCATGGTAGAACTAATATGGGGTGTGGTGGCTTCACGTGGACTCCAAGATCTATAGTTTGAGCCTACCAGCCTCTATAGGGGAGAAAGATGAGACTTTCTGCTTCAGAAAGATTTTAAAACCTCAAAAACTCTATACAGGGTCACTTTGAGTTGGAATCTACTGGACAGTACTTAACAACAGAATTAATAAGACTTTAAAATTTTCTAAAGGAAACAATCTAGCCAAGATATTTTCATCAACCTACTGAGGTACTTTAGTATAAAGTTTTCTTGGAAGAAACAGCCCTGACTTGAATCTATATTATGCCAGCGAGGGTCTGACAACTATAGTGGGAGTCCTTAGTGGTTAATTTGGAATCCTAGGAAGACAGGGGTTGTGGAAGATTACTGGACCTGCTCAAGACCCTGGTTTCCTGCCCTACCACATAGACTGTAGTTGAATCTAATGGAGTGAGATATTGCTGGTAGACATTTCTGATAGAACTGTGTAAGACCATGAAGTACCATTAACATCACTAGCAGTAAGTGGGGCATAAATGATGAAGCACTTCCTTCTCTCCTGTATCTATGAGGAGCACCACATGTTTTAGATGTTGTGAGATTCCAGTCTGGAAATAAGTGGTGTTCAGTGAGCCAGCAGAAGGTGCCCTGCCCAGTGGACATATTGTTTTCCAGCAGAAATTTCTATTTAAGAAGTAAAAAAAAAGTTGGTCATTTGAAAGAACAGCTTTTCAGATTTGTTTGTGAATACTCAAGCACATTGTGGAGACACCTAAAGCAAACCGAATGAATTTTTGAAGTGGATTATAGGACTTTACTGAGACCTCATGTGGCACTGTAGGATAACACTGGACTGAGAGGTCAGTTTGAACTTCAAGATCAGCAATTAAATCCACCAGCTGCTCTTTGGAAGCCTTATACAGGGTCGTTCTGAGGTGGAACCAATTCAATGGTACGAATCAACAACAACATCGGACCACTAGTAGTTTGACCCCAAAGTAAGGAAAACCATGCCTGTGTCCTATGGATGTGACCCCATTTATATCCACATACCCAGGGAAAATTTAGTTATACAAAATTGAAAATATTGTTATCCTAAATGGAGAAAATAGTTCTAAAGAAGCATACACTTTTAAAAAATTAACAGTCATATTGTGGCATGATGTATAACTTCTAATGCATCATTTCTAATAAACATAAAATAGTTTACAAAAATAGTAATGTATAAAAATGGTACAAATGGTAGCAACTGTGAAATTGTACTTTGCAGGTTAGTGGTTAGATACGAAATATGAAAAAGAGCATGTTTTGTCACAAAGCTGAACTTACTTTGATTAACCCAGTGTGTTGCTGCTGTTGGTGTTGTTACTAAGTGCTGTCAGGTCAGTTTCCATTCTCAGCCGCCCTTACAGGGTTTCTGAGGCTATAGATCTTTGTGAGAGTAGAAAACCTCATTTTCCTCTGACTTGTAACACATGTAGTGTTGAGTAAATTCACTCACTATTCATGTGTTTATGCAATTCCAATAGTATCTTATAAATAGAATTATATTTTAAAGAAATCTGAGCTGTCATGAAGCTTTATGTTCTTTAGTTTCTACTTATAGTGAATAGCAACTTTTCTGTGACAATGAATAGAGTTACACAGAAAATGAAAACTGAAGATGGCAAACAGGATGAGGTTTCGAGTCACCAGTATGGTATATGAATAGGGATACACTTGAAAGGAAGTGGTAGTATTATGGACTAATACATGAAGT